TCGCACTTTATAAAAATAAATTTTGAAAACATTTATTGTGCAGCTGTTTAAATAAAAAACAATCCATGAAAGCATTCCACAAAGCATTTCACTTATGAGAAAGGAAATGATGGTTTTGAAGGTGACAACGAGACTTTGTCTTTGCGGTATGTTCCTGTTGACTTTTAAAAACAGCGTGACCAAGTAACGCCATCAATGYTCTTTGTCACGCAAATTAGATTGGATTAGCACGCTCATTACCCAAAATGCCTCGAAGGGCTGTCGAGTGAACATTGAAGAATATTATCGACCAGAAATTATAAGGTTTCTGAATTTAATGTTGAGAAGTGTATTCATTTAGACTTAAMGCGTGTGTACGTCGGTGTGTTACCAAATTTACCGTCCTTTATGATGCTGTAGTTGTTGACAGAGCTCGACTTCTGGGGAGTTGAAGGCGCTGCAACTTCGTAAACAAGTTAACATGTAAATGTTTAGCAGGCTGGTTTAAAACCTGGTGCAGTCTTCATGGCCAAAGAGAGCTATTTGATAGGATGACTTTGGTGGACAAGCGAGGTATTCTTATTACTATGAAACTGGAAACCCTAATTCCTGCAAATGTTTTGATGTGTTCATGTTGCGCGAGCTAGTGTTCAGGGCACAAGATCAAACTATAGCCGGCAACTTTATATTCAATATGGTTAAAACTTTAAAACAAACCTAGCGGTAAAGTTTTTCKATTGAGATACTTAKGTTATGAGCTTAGCGATGCTGTCAAGAATTCCAGAAATCGATTCACCGATTGAACTAAAGGAGTCAACATTGAGCAAATATGACCCGGTGAATTATACTCGCGCAGAGAAGTTGACAATTTCCACCYYGGCGCTGGAAAACCGTGAGAAGTATTCACAAAGAAGTGGCTAAATGCCATGGRTTTTCTCTTATAGTTTGRCATGAACTATTTCAAAGAAAAATTAGATATTTTAAAAGGTCATTGATTATCAGCTAACAGAGTTCGTCGATGGCAATGCTGTCAAAATGCAGCTTTAGCCTGATGTGAACCTCAATTAATTTATCTGACTTTCCTGAAGTCATGCAATCCAAAAAAGCTGTTTGAGTTTTTCGAGATACTYCGTTTATCAATGATTGAACTKGTTTCCTCGATAAAGAAAAGYTAGCTGGAAAACTTTCATCATTGTTGTCTTTCCGAAATGTAAACATTTGGTTTCTCACCAGATACCAAGATGGAATTCAGGAAACAGTCATTACGTAGACAGATATTTCCATGCGCGACTAGAGTAATTGAGGGCATTTTTACTAAAATTGATGGTGAATTCGGTATTTATCTATCGATTATAACTGAAAATCCATTATTGCTAACATATTCAATTACGACATAAGAGATTTTAACATATTTTCCATTAAAAAGTTATTTGAACGCTTTTGAACAATACTCTCGCCTTTGAAAATATTTAAGAATTTTTTCACTGAAACACATATAACCGTTAAATGTTTGTGTATTCTCTCTGTAAGCTTTAGAAAACAGAAAGTTCGCCATTGTATTTTATAATTGTTTTCTGGTTTGCATGATAATAGTGATTAATTGTTAATGGGCATAGTTGCTCTAGAAGGTTTTCTCGCGCCTTTAGAAAATCTTTAAACGTTGAAATCCGTCGACAAAAGCGTCGTAAGAATTTAAGTATTTGGAACGCATAATCCGTGTAATCAGTACAATCTCTGTAAGGTCACTCACGTGAATAATATATCAACGAATGAAAAATTATCGTCGTAGGTACTTGTTTCTGACATTGACACATGTAGCGAAGTAAAATTGATGTCGTAGTCTTCACCGGTGCATAATATAATTTGTTATCATGAAGGCCACACTGAGAATGCTAATCACACGGCGCATGGCTACWAGAAATATGATATGCCCCATGAGTAGATTTGCCATTTAAACACAATGAAATGTAAAAAGAAGTATTCCAGCTATTTATAGTTGATAATCTAGAGGACTTATTTTTCTACAGTGCGAAAGTGTAACATTTATATGAATTAAAAATGTTACATTTGAGAACAATATTTTTAAAGTACGTTGATTTGAAGATCATGAAATGACAAACGCATCCCAAGTGTTTGAAGTATTAGAAAGCATTAAAACTCCCAGTATTTTCCGTATTTCCATTCTCTTTAAGAAACACTGAGGATAACTAGGAGAGCACGAGAAAGGGTCCGGTGTTGTATATTGTATAGAAGCGAAAAGTTGATATGTTTCAATGTATTATTTTACTTCACAAGCTTTTCCCATCATTCAAAATTAAATTAATTCAGTGATTATTATAACCATTACGTACCCAGAAAAAATTTGATTGTGATTTTCCAATGTTATAACAATATTATGTATCACTAGGCAACAGTTTACCTAATTCTTGGCACAACTCACAACTAATTAAGGTGTTTCCAGCGTTAATTACGAGTAAACATTCTTTTTTTATTTTGCTCAGTCGCTATTTATGAACATTCTCAGATATTTCAAAACGTGACTAGATATATAGTACCTTGTAAAGGCTCCCGTAATTCAACTCCTAAATTTCCAATTAAAAATCCCTTCATTCTTTTATCTGTTTTAGTTATTTTGTCTTTCTCTTTTTGCAGATTTTACGTTGAGTTTATTATGGCAGCCCTTGTAAGCAGCTTACACCAAGGAGAGAGAACAAGTGAGAATACAAAAAGTTCTTTTTAGACGAGGAAAGCCGGCGAACGGCTATTGTCGAAGAGGGATTGCATGACCGAAAGGAACTATGGTTACGCTTTATAACGTAAAAACATTCACTTGTTTGGTCCACCTTGGGTAAATGGAGACTAAATGGAGCCAATGTTACAACAAAACATCTTACTAATATTTTCATCAATTGGCAAAACCCATGATTCCTTGTTGTCGAGCAATCTCTGTGCAATGATAACCATTCGCCATTTTATCCGACAACCTTTTTTGAAAGAGGTTGTTGTTGTATATGCAATTGTTCATCTTCAATCTATTAACAGATGAAGATGCTCTTAATGTAATTTTCGGAATTTATAACCAAAAGTACGTTTTTTGGCGATGTTGTTAAAAATTGCGCTCAGTTTTGATTATGTATGTCTTTTTATTGACACACTCTTGACGTCATAAAATGTTGGAAACTCATGTGGACCCAAGGGTGCAGCGAGGAAATAAGCGAAAATCATTCTTTTTTTTTACGCTGAGCGCGCGCACGGGACGTGAAGGTGTCCGCTGCACAGTTTGTATGACTTGAGGGACACCAGTGTGGTGAAAATGTTGATGTATTTTCCTCTTTTCACAGAGATGCCACCCATAACGTCTATCATTTCATCAGAATCGGAGAGTCCAAAATCTCCTAAAAAATCTGTGAACGGAGACACAAAGGGTTTCTTCCCTCCTCGCCAGTCATCTAAGAAAAAGTTAAAATGGTCAATTGATAAGCTTAAAAGTGACAATTCATCGGAAAATGAGAAAAACAAATCCAACGACGTAAAATCAAAACTAACTTCCAAGTCAGCCTCTTCCTTCTTCAGCCCAAAGCCTGTTATAACAGCAGAACACGAGGATGAAGAACAAAAAAGCCCAGTAGATTCTGCTTTGTTGACTGATAGTGTGGACAATAGAAATTCCAGTGACCTGGAAAAACACGAAAAAGACGATTCCCGATGGACGGATGACGACAGTCTTCTGATGACCCCTCAGGATAAAAGTCTAGCCAGGCAATCTACTGGCTCGATAAACTTTATCGATAAAGTCGTACAAGAGATCTTATCTACTGAAAAAACATATGTGAATAATCTGAAGGAAATTATCGAGGTATGTTTTGGTTTATTTGCTCGTCTATTATATTTGTTTTGACAGGAATTTGCCTCATTGATTGATTAATTGGTTTGTTAATAACTGATTGGTTATTTTCATTAATTTATTGATTGACTGATTGATGATTTGATTGGTTGATTAATTCATTAAATTCATGTATTGGCTATTTGATTGGTTAATTGTCTTGTGAATTAGTTGCTGTATTTTAGATCATTTACTGGGTAACCAAATCAAAGATAAGGAACACGTTTTCACATTTTTTGCTAATGTACCACGTGACTGTTCGCCCGCATACGTCTACTCGTCAGACAAACGATTCGCTTCCCATTTTCAGTGCACCATTCAAATCCGTATTTTTTGTGATAATTTTTCCTTTCTAGGGATATTTGCAATGCATGAGAATGAAGAATTGTCCGATTTCAAAAGAAAACGTTCAACATTTGTTTATAAATGTCGAAAAAATATACGAGTTTAACAGGTAAGTATCTACGGCAACGAATTTTGAATCCACTTTGAATAGTTGAGTTTGTCAATTGTGTGCAAAATATTCAGACATTTTGATAAAAATTGTGACATTTCACACTATTTCCATTGTCTTGTACTCACAGATCTCTTACAATATTTGCACGGGCTGTTAGCGAATAAAAGAATTTACTATATGGTTTTGCAGCTAACACAGGCGCAGAAGAAATCGCTAAAAGGGTTTATTGTGAAGGCTGCTTTGTCGGAATAAATGTTGTACAATTGATGACAGATATTCTCAGTTCCATTCGCCTCACATGATTAATTCCCATTTCTTCCCGTTACAATTTCTCACAATTTAGTGATATTTTAAAAAAATTCGTAGAAGTTTGAAAGTTTTGAAAGCACGACAGAACGTTTACTTATTCCAAAGGTTTGTTTTCACTAGTAAAATTAACGTAGAGAAGAGATGACAAAGAAAGATAGCAGAGCGGGAGGTTTTCTATTCATTTTGTATTGTCATCCCTTCTCCATTTCTTCACCGCTCGTTCTTTCTATTTACTGATTTTCCGTCACACGCGTGCGTGATCGTTTTATCTCTTTTTTCCATTTACGCTCACTCCTCACTATACTCCTCACTAATTTCTGCTTTTAGGGAGTTTTTGAAACAAATTGAAAATGCCGATGAAGATCCTGTAGAAATTGCCGACTGTTTCGTCAAGAATGTAAGTATTGTTTAACAAATCAATTTAATTTTCCGCGAACAATTTTCATAATATGCAAAATTCAGAATAGACCAATCTGTTAAAATATATTAACAGAACCCTTCTTATTTAGTGCAATTTGATATTTAAAATCTGCTTATTGCAGGCCGATGAAAATCACCCTTGTGCACACTCTCTCTCTCTTATAGTTAAGTAATTTTCAAAGTTGCTGTACCTTTTGTACATCACAGCAACCCATGTAGCAGCCTGTTTCCTCCCCGAATTTTTTCCTGTAGGGAAAGAAGAGTTTCCTCCCCAAACGRATGTACACAGTTTCTATCCATGCAGAGGCGTTTCACTTTGTTGTTATTTGTCTTGCAGGAAACTGGTTTCCAAACCTATACTGAGTATTGTACAAACTACCCTAAGTATGTCCAGAATTTGAATACTTTATAGAACAAAACATATTAAGAGCACTAATTATCTATTTATATATTAGGTCAGTTGAAGTCCTTACAGAGTGCACAAGGCAACGRGAAGCCGCCTCGTTCATCCAGGTCAGAACATGTTGCAGCATTAGCCTCCTCCCCAGACAACTCTTTTTTCCTCCTTTGGGCTTMSTTTGTAACGGTAATCTTGGCCGTTAGGGTCGACTGACAAATTCTCCATCTTCTGACTCCCAAAAAGRMAGGAAKYCCGTKATTCTTAGTGATGCATGCGGAGGAGGCTAGTTCAACATGACATAGTAGTCAACTTCRCGTTGCATCTCTTGTCGTCCTGCTATTTTTTTACAATCATGCACGTATTTTGGTTGTATAGGTAATATTCTACGGTTTATTTCCTTCAACAGGAGATTCAAATGAACCTTGGYCATTCGTTACCTCTTGGGTCGTATCTCTTGAAACCCGTGCAAAGGATACTCAAGTATCACTTGCTGTTGCAGGTACGCGACTGCTGTCGTATATTTGTCGTAAGGAGCATTCGACTATCAGAGTTTCTCGTATGATAATCGTATAGTAATCGATTGCCATTCGGGAACATTTCGTCTCGATATTGTACGCTACTGATATATGTACGTATGACACTGGTGAAAAACGCACTCCGCATGCCCACAGCTTTCCCGCCAGTGGGCGCTCGCGTCTTGAAATCTGTAAACAGAGCGCCTGGCGATTTACAGCGACAACACAGAAAACACTACAAAAAACCTCATTTTCTCAAAATAGAAATAACAAGATAAAAATAGAAACTACATACTAAAAGGACCTATCATGAACAATGATTGATGGAAATATGAATCTTATATAAGGAAATTAGGCAGATTTCAGCGGGAACAGTGGACATGCGCAGTGCGTTTTTCACCAGTGTCTGTACGTATATATACGTACGCCTGTCGTACGTGATACTTCAGGTATGATAATCGAATGGTAATCGATTGTCATTCGGGAACATTTCGCATGAACGCTATCGTACGGTAATCGGCGAYTGGCCGCTGAGAGGTTTTCGAATGGTATCGAACCATACTCGACTATTTGTCGGATMTATCTCGTATGACTAAACGGTACTTGACTGTCTAAATACACYCTGGTTTCACTGAGAAAAGTTTGCATTGTATTTTTCATTTTATTTAACAGGAGATGAAGAAACGTTTTGACAAAGAAAACGATGCGGAAGGATTTGACATCATTTGTGTATGTACTGAATATTTAATTTTMCTAATTTTACTAAAAAAAACTTCTGAATATTTTTGTCTGGGTAACAATTGYCCTACTCATCGTGTCTTCATGAGTAGTGTCCATATACTCGTACCAATCGCCCCAAAAATGCGTTTTTTCCTTTTTCATTGTTATTTTAACTTGAGGAAATTAGAACAATGTGAAAACKCGTTTTTTTGTGTYGATTGACAAGACCCGATTGTATGGAGACAGGCCAAATKGGTACGYGCAGTTCCTTGCAACTCTCCTCGCCGCTAGTTTTCAACGATTTCGAGGAAAACCAGATGTACGAAGAACAATTTTAAGACCCATTTACACTTGCGATTTTTGCAGAGCGATTCTCACGAGTTTCGAACATGCTTGAAAAATGGCTGCAATTTCGCGGCGATTTTCCATCGCCGCAACAATCGCAGGGCTATTTACACGTACGATTTTAGTTGTGTGATAGCAAAGTGGCGATTATCGCGCTGCAAAAATCGCAAGTGTAAACGGGCCTTAACAAAACCGTCAAGTAAAATCACATATGCTGCCATACTCCGGACCACACCCATATTTTCAACACTTAGTCACAGTAACTCTCTCTTCACATGCAAGAAGATGAGTTTTAATTGCATCGCTTTTTATTTTTATTAATTTGATCGTCTTTATTATTATTTCAGGACGCCTTGTTTGCTATGACAGATGTCGCTCGGTATATCAACGAGATGAAAAGACAACACGAAGCTACACTTCATGTTCAGGTATCATTTAAGACATRGTTTTTTCTTTAGTTAGAGTCAACTGCCGTAATTTGTACTTGTAAGCGTACGCAAGCTGCATTCCTGACTGATCAACTTATCTTTTGTTTAAGGAAATACAAAGTCAGCTATCTGAATTTGAGGTAAGTTAATGATGTTTTGAGATGAAATAGTGTGCTAATTGCTCTATTCGTCTTGTATGAACATTATTCCGTAGTTGATTAACGTGCATTAATGATATCCCACTTTATTTCCGCTAAGGGTCCAGATTTGACGACGTATGGAAATCTTGTACTAGAGGTAAGAGACAGAATTCCTATCTCCTCTCGCAAATGATATTTACTTTCGATTAGTGGTATCTATATATTTTAATTCTATAACACGCGTGCTGATTGGCGGATTTCATGAGAAAAACTATGGTTTATTTCGCCGGTAAACCAGCCTGCTGTCTTAAAAGACTTTTGAGTCTAAATAAAACGCTTGGGATGGTTTGGAGAAMACTCAAAAAGTCTGACGGCTCGTGATTTACAGATCTTTTCTCGTTTTCTCTTACTGACAGGCGTGATTGATTGACTTATTGATTTGAACATGTTTATATATTCTAGGATACATTTCGAGTTGTGGGGACAAGAACAGATAGATATCTTTTTCTGTTTGAAAAAATTCTTCTTATAACAAAAAAGAGAGAACGAGAAAATGGTTATACATGTAAAGCATCGTTATTGGTAAGTCCACGTCATGTTTTCAGTACGTTTTCGTATTTATCTGCTATTATATCATATCCAATATGTTCAAAATAAATTTTCTCTGGGTTTCGGCCTTGTAATAGTTTCACGGGTATTTCAATTGGATTTGTATAGGTAATAGCATGCTTTGTACTGGTATTTGGGATAAATACCACGCGTGATATTTCAAAATTCTCAATCTTTGAATCTGTGACAATCTTTGAATTTGTCCCAAATTCCACGTACAAAACATGCTGTTATTTGTTTATAAAATGGTTGAATAAAATTTTGCAATTTGAAATACCACTATTATGATAARTACCACCCCTCTAAGCCAATCAAATTGCACAATTTTATTTAACCATATTATAAAATGGCATGAAAACTTTATTGTGAATATAATGGCAATGCAAGGCATATGATACAGGGATGTAAAGAGCAGCCGCAAAGGCTAGTAACCTGACAAAAAGCGCGGGAAAATGCAGCAGATTCGGCGTGCGCGCTCTGAGAACCTTAAATCTTATATTAGATCTTTGATTTAATGATTGATTTATCCTCAGCTATCCAATATGATGATGACCGAATCTCTTCCTAAAGAACCGTTAGCATTTCAAATCATTCGCTTCGATAATCAAAAAGTTACTTATCAATTCATGGTAAGTTGATTTATCACGTCAGAAATAAACGTTTTGAGAGTTTCAAAATTCTAATTAACTTATTTGATATTAAAGGCACGTTGTATGGACCAAAARAACAAATGGACCTTGGCACTCAAGAAACTACTAGTGGAAAGCCTTGTTGCTGAAGTTCCACAAAAGGTACGCATACCTGATTGAAAAAAAGCATGATTGAATTTTTAATTCTGGTTTGAATACACTATTTTCCCCATTCAACTAGAGGCACGTCGATATTCCAAAGCGTTTATAAAGCATTGTTAGTGAGCCTATGTGCGAGTTTTAGCCACTTAGCCATCTGTGGACCAATTAATCCTATGCGTTTGGATTTTGCTTAATAGTGTCGTCACGATGACGCAAACGCGTTGCATCCCAAAAGTCGTACCCAGTAAATTATTCTTTTACTGATATAGATATTTGCATGTTCAGTGTGACGTTTGCTTAAAACGCAGCACCCTGATCCCACTGTCAGGGTAAAGTCAGTGAAATTTAATTTTTTTTAAAGAAAAACGGAGAAGTAAAACACAAAATAGTGTTATTGTGTTCTCACAATCCTTCTTGAACCTAACTTGTGTATGATCTTATGCGAGATGCCAAGATGTGTGGCCTCTTTCAAGAATATTGCAGGGTGGCGCGCGTATCAAAACCACAGATTTTAGTTCTCCTGCAGGGGCAATTCCCGAAAATACCTCGTTCTCATGTGCGCACATGCGATAACGTTTTTCCCGCCTATTTCGGAAATCATCAAATTTCTTGTTGTTTACCAACAGGCCAAGGCCTTGATTCTTGGTGAGAAAACCGTTGATGAAGACGACAGTTCAGGTATTAAACACGCATGCTCATTACCTAGTGCAAGACATCACAATGATTTTAGTGTTAATGATTTATTCGTTGCTATAGAAACTGAGTCTGCAAGGAAAACATACAGCCCRCCAACTTTAAGAAGACAAAGTGTAAAAGGTACAACAGGCCGCCCCTTATCATATTAGTTAATTTACTTCTTAACTTTATTACTCGAACAAAACAAAAAATATATAATAAAAAAAAAACAATAAAAGATGGTTACATCGTTGCAACTATAAAATGTTAAGACTGAGCTAGAGTGAAAACACTAAAACTAAAAGTTTGCAGATCAATATGGCTAAATCATGCTAATTCCATTTTTTTAATTGGTTTATTTATTACTAAATAGAGCAAACTATTCCACAATATCAGTGCGTGTACTGCATAAACTCATAAAATTTTAAAATTAACTGTAAGCTTCAAAAAGGTTCCTCGCCGCCCTTGATATTAAGGCATCAAGACGTTTCACTTGTGTTTTTGTTTACAGATAAACCGCGTCCTTGTGTAGTARTTGTCCAGTCGCATTATATTCCACCCAAGCAGCCGGTTATTCACCTTGTTTAATACTTTAAACCTTAAATGGCTAAAACAACCGATTTAGATTCTAAATGTTAAATGAGCTAAATTAACTCGAAGTYCATCAAGCATTGTGGGTAAGTCTTATCTAAGATTAAAAAAATATAAACGATTGCAGAGACTATATTTGCTCTATTMGCGGATTGTCCAACATTTGCCTCGGTGCGATTCCAAAAAATAGTCGTGCAATTTTGMCAGTCAATCTTCAGTCTTATAACAGCAAAACAAAGCTGGAACTTGACCCCCTCATAAAACCTCTGCACACTTCCCTGGGTATCCGGTCGTTTCGATCCAAAGACGTTTCGATCCAAGTTGTTTCGATCCATTTTTAGGACGATTCGATCCACTTATATAACAACTCAAAATRCATTAGTATTATTACAGTAAGGAAAATTGTCCGTAACTGATCTAAACATGCGTGATCTTGAGAGAGCGACAAATGCGAGATGTACGTAATGTCTGACGTCATWAGTTGTATTTTTATGTACAATATGACATCTTTCAGGTTCATCTCCACTATCATCATCATCATCGAGTCAAGGCTCAGCAAAACGGGTAAGTGTAGTGATTTGCTGCGATGACTTAGATCTTTGCGTCTGATTTACAATTTGCTGTTCAACAGCGTTTGACTCTTGACTCTGAAGAAATCAAAGGGGTGAGTAGATAATAGTGTCAGAATAGTGCAACACGTTGTCACCTCGTCGTTTGTTGCGCTATCATGCGTTATATTTCTCTATTTTGAGTCAAGAAACGCGGTAGGAGATTTACAAAGCATGCGTGAGAAACAGGAACACAATGAGTTTTTATATGCAAAGGAGATGTAGGTACACACGCTCTGTTTTCTGATTGTAACATGTTTTGTCTTCAGAGCGACGAGAACAACAACCCTCATGATKACGGACTGTTGTCGCCCAGTGACGTCGTGTTCATGACAAACGACGAACAAAAAGTAAGAAATTCAATTCAACTCTTCTTATATTCTGTTTTGTTAATTAGAATTAATTACAACTCCTTTGTCATTCACTCTGATGTACAGTAGTGACTTTGATCTTCTCCAAGTTTCGGTCGAGGTTTCGTGACTGAGCTGTATGTTGCCCGTGATTTTTATCCTCAAAGAGTTCCACATGTAATCTCGCGAATTCTACTCTAGGATTTCCTAAYAACCCTTATTGAAATTGTTACCACTAATTCATACAAAAAGACTTGTGGAAAAGAGCATGCATGYATATAGGAAAAGCGGAATAGACCAAGCTGTCCCTGGCTGCGCGCTCAGCTGCATTCCTTGAAAAGTAGAAGAATAATATCTCATCACTCCAAATAGCAACGTCGGTATAAAATGATATTGATTGTAGATTAGACGGCTACAGTACTAGTAGTGACCCCAGCATTACAAAGGTGGTGAATGGGAGCTAATTAATATATTTATATCTTAGTTTTGTGAAATTGTATTTTGAGGCGGGATGTKAAAAACAATTTTGGTAACGACGGACATGTTTGACGCTCGTAYCTAGTTATTTCTTTCGATGAATTACCGGAGAACCAGTCTGTGTTGCAACKTAAGATTCTTAATGATCATCATAAATCGTAAATGATTCCAATTCTAACACTTTTAGAGTAATGCTGGAGAGGAACGTCGTGCCAGGGCAGGCAGCGTCGATAGTGACCTGCCGCATCCAAGACACACCGACAGAGAGGGAAGAATCAAATCAATGCCTACATCAGTTGATATCCCAAGGCTKCCTAAGAAACCTACCAATCCTAGTGAAGCAATGCTTTTATTCGATAAATATGCATCTGTGAGTGATCTCAGAAGTAAAATAGATGAGAACGCAGCTAGTGATCTATCTGAAAGTGACTTGGATATCGCRAAAGAGCTTGGTGATCTTACTGAGAATTCGAAAATACATAGAACGGTTCGAGAGGTTGCTAGGGCATTTAGCTTCAGCGAATATCCTGACACTCCGACGCAGAATTCCTTTCGTGGYGATGAGCCAAGGGAAGGACGTTGTCTTGATGAACTACTGGAATCCATTGATCGTGAGTTAGATGAAACAAGACGAACTATTAATAGTGCGCAGCTCCTTGAATCAGCCATTAAATTGAAACAAGTTAAGCCTTTGGATGTARCATGGCCWCCASCTGCTAAMATCAAGGACGAAATTGAAGTTTTAAAACATGATGGAGTTGTATCAGATAAGGATGTCGAGAGGAGAGGACCACCATCACCACCGGTTCGAAGATCGTCCTCAACCTCAACGCAAAACCAAGATGTTTGTGCAGGAGAAGAAGAAGAACGCGATCTTAAAGCTGAGATTGCCGCATTTCAAAAACAGTCTGCCCAATTTTCTCAGCGTATTACCGAGAAACATAGAACTTGTTCACTAGACCGAAGACGCAATAAAAAAGTCTTTGAATTGTCTCCAAGAACCAATCGATTMAGTACCGGGAATGTCAATGAAGATTCGGATCAACGTCGTTCTGTGCACGAAATGGCTCGACAATATTCCAGGAAAGTTAGAGATGAAAAAGCTGTAGACATTCGTTCACGCTTGCATTCTAATAGTTCGAGCAGCATTGAATCCCAGTTCTCAATAAACGCCTCCCCACAAATGAAAATCGAAAGGGTCACTAAAGTCAAATTTGACAGTAGTTTAGAGACTTCTGCAGTTGTAAGACGAAGACGAAAGTCAGGTTCTCGYCATAAACGATCTAGTTGGTCTCACGAGGATGCAAAAGTTGATGTCGATCTACTGMGACTCAGAATTGAAAGACCTCGAAGTCTGCACGAAATTAAACCTCAAAAAGAACTCATTGAGGTGGATTGTGATTACTACGARTTTGCAGATGGATTGGATGAGGGACTTGCTCCAGCTCTGCTGGCTGGAATGGAGAAAGACGATGTAGTAGTACGGGGATTGGTCAAACATTTAGTCAGCAAATTTGGAAGCGATCCACAACCACAAGGTACGTCAAATTGATAATGGTARTTWCATGTTTTTTAAATTGGTTTATCGCTCTTCCATCCCTTGTTTCTGKGASTGAGGACRTGCAGCAGAATAYTCTCCCTAGATTCCCAAGGATGCACCAACATAAAATATAGTTGTACTAGCTTCTGAATGCATTCCCGCAAAAAAGAATTGTTATAATGTCCATTATAATAGTAAAACTATTTTTTCTAAACGAATCATTTTTATTTTCATTTCAGAAGAGGATCAACGCCGTGCCAGGTTACTATAGGATTATGTCGAGTCTGGTTCACGCCCGTTGTTGTCCTTGTTAGCTGGAACAGCCTTACCGAGCTTATGTACATAGAGAAAACAATGCCCCAGTTGATTTGAATGGATTTGGTAATCAAAATGCAATATATTCATTCCCAAAGGAGATTGTAGCTTGGTTGTTTCAGCATCATAGGGCGACGTGTGTATATAGCTATTTCAAAAAAGGTTGTCGGATAAAATGGCGAATGACAATGGTCGAACAGCGATTGCGCTACCGAAAGTGGCCATGGGTTTGGCTAGTTAAAAGGCAATAACGACTGATTTGTACTGTTAGATGGTCTGCGGTAAAGACTGGCGCCATTAGTTTTCATTTCTATGCAAGGTGAATCTAATAAGGGAAATTTTGTTTATCAAAACAGCTTAATCATAGTTCCTTTTGGTTGGGCAATCTCCCTTCGACAATCGTCGTTCGCCGCTCTCTCCGACAACGTTTTTTTTTAATAACTGTATGAGACATATGAGCATGACCTCATCCTAGCTGCATGGTAGAAAGTGAATGAGAAAAGTAAACGCAAATATATTATTAGATTAATTTAGTGTAATGTTGGTCCCATGAATTCCAACAGTCCTTTTACCGATGTTCCTGCTTGGCACGGCTGTCAGTTTGCGTGTTTTATTTATTTTTTTTTTTTTTCGTGTGCACTATATATAACAAACAAGACATCATCTCAGGTCTTCGTTTAGCTAGGTGTCTTGGCTATTACAATAATGCCAATAGTAATACAGCTATTTCGAATAATGGTTTATGTTGTTACTGTCGAAGGCAAGGTCCAATAGACAGCAACAAGCCTTAGCTATTCTGAGAGCGGCATTAAGATGTTAAGAACTACAAAACGGCTGAAAACTAAAGTGCAGGGATTGATCTTTGACTAAATCCTGTGATGTCGCCATTTGCATGGTCTCGGTCTCGGAGTATGCGGTGTATCAGCTATTACAAATTATAAATTGCCGTATGAAGAAAGAAATTATTCCGCCTTTGGTTTTGGTGTGGACGTTGTATGTGCACTCTTTTCGGGTGCGTCTTAAATCTAATGCCTTTCGAAACGACTGAATTCGAAACAAGTTTTCTATAATACTCTCAATCTGAACAAAGATGTAATATATTGTGAAAAGTCATTTCCTGCTATTCCTAAGTATGGTTTTGCTAGATTATCCAGTCACTATAGTTTCTTATTGTTTGATAACTCACTTGAAATTTCTAGGAAAGCCAGTGTTTCCATCAGAACGTATTGACGTCAGGACCGTAGCCAGGGGATGGGGGATGAAGGATGCAAATGTGTCTCCACACTTGTCTAAGGTAAAAACCGGTCCGCGTTAATTGAGAAGAACCAAAATCAAAATTTGGGAAGGATGCTCTAAGCTTGCTGAAGAGTGTTTTCGTCCAACATGTATAACTCGTTTCTGTACAACCTCCCATAAAATATACTGGCTACGGACCTGAATTATAGCATTAGTGTAAATGTGGACTTCAGGAAAACATGTATAGARATAAAAAGATTTGAAAATACGCTGCGAGCGACGTTTCGGTGCCGGTTGATGTCGTCAAGGTTGTAATCTCAACCGGATTTTCCATAAGTATCGTACGAGATTGAGAAATCAAGAAACATACGAAAAACGCCTTTAGAGTGAAACTTATCTTTTTGATGTCTTTGATTAAACGCTTTTTCAATAAATATATTTTCTATGAATTGATTTTATAAGGAATTCAATTTGCTTGATGTTGGGGTCCGACACCCAGCACCGAAGCGTTGCCAGGGGAATATTCCTTTTTTTTATCATTATGACTGAAAGAAAATAATAAAATAATAAAAACTTTAAAAGTCAAAGTTTGATAACGGAACACCAAATATATTTTGGAAGGCCCAACGACTTTAAGTACCACTGAACGTCGTGTTCAATGCTTCTCCTCCAGTCATTCCACGTAAAGCAATGTTACCAAATGGTTATAAAATGCACGTTGGGTCACCCAAAAAAGTTGGTATTCGTCGAACCAAAATTTCTCGTAAGCACAAACTTATTTCTAGCCGTAGCTCAATATCGAAAATATCAAGAGCTGATGGCACCAATGACAGTTCCACCAGAGTGAGAATATGCATATAATTTCGAGCTGTATAATATAATGTATAATAAATGTTATGTATCGCTAAATACGAGCAATATATAAAGAAATCTWAAGTAAAATTGAAGCYGAGTCMGTCRTTTTTGCGGTTTGATCTCTTTRTGGTTACTCCCGTCTCATAAGACCGAGAACCACWATGTTATCGTGTTGGGAATTTAGCAAAACAGTGATCATGGRAGTGAAAATGTAATAATTTTAGGGCAAAAAGTCGACTAAAGATATTWTGGTTTAGTAAACGTATATAAAACAATGGCAGACAGAAAAATTGGATAATCTATTTCTGGAGCCTCGTCTACTTTAGTGTATGATCAACTGAACCAAAATATCTAAAGTCGATTAAGTCCTGTTYACATGGGAAAAAGTTGTCCCTGGTAGGGTTGCCCTGCTACCCGCGAGCCAAGTTCAATAAAACCCTGAAGCTTTTAAGTCAAACCATATACGCAATGCATTGTAGGATATGTTTGGGACAGAACATGGCGGATTTCTTTTCTCTCTCACACTCTAGAAAGCCATCCCACAATCCATTGCAAGTCAAATAGTGACGTAAAAGCGTCAGCATTATGCTCAAGAAGGCTTCAGCAATAATACTTGCGGTATTTCACACTTTCAGTTGGTGATTGTTAAATCATTTTATTACAAAAATCACAATATAAGTGACGAAATTTGAGAACGAAAAACCGTCCAACCCACACATCAACATATCAACTTGGAAAAGTTATGGGCTGATGGTCTAAAATAACTTAACTGTAAAAAATGTACGACTAGAACTAATTGTTATCCAACAAAAAAAATGAAATAACTCCTRAGCGCCGAATGTTCGAGTAAGCTCTTGCGGAACAAGTGCAAGACAATCAAGACAGCAGCTGTTCAGAACTTGTCCGCCATTTTCTGAATTGATCTCGAGCAAAAAAAGAAGTACAGTAAAAACCCGCGTATATGAACAAGTGGATTAAGAACACTCAAGCATGATTTTAGGAAATAAAAAGTACCATTTATATAAGAAYACATTCAGCCTGAAAAATAAAAGTTGTTCTTATATGGAAAAATATCAAATATCAACACTACTTTTCATTGCAAACATAATAGTTCCAAATCCAATTATATGTAACAAAATATTAATATTGTATTGATTATTTAAAATTGTGTACATATAAATTTCATCTATTGGCAGCCTAGAATGTTCCTTATTTTAAGAAACTTTTTTTAAGAACACTTAAGAAATCAATGATCTTCTCTGGAGCATTGCTCAAAAAGGTTTGTGTACACCTACATGTATATTGCAATCAACTCAGTCTCGCTATTACGGACACCCTCGAACCGTAGTTTAGTGTCCGCAGTAGCGAGAGTAAGTCCGTAATTAACGGGAGTCACTTTCAGTTATTTCTTTGTATTTTTCTCCAGGGATTTCTGMCGGATTTTTATTTGTTTACGTCATTTCCTTTGAAATACATTTCGTATAATATAGACAAGGAATTRACACGCGAGATATCATGTTAAMATGTAGTACWCGTGCTCGCCCGWGTCTAAGTTCYCTCTTTTGGAATTGTATATTTCKCCTTGCTGATTTTGCAGATTATAACCCTTTATATAAGAACTAAATCAGCATGAACCGCCAAAAAAGGTTTTCTTATACGCGGRKTTTTACTGTATAAGTGAATCAAGCAATCATTATATCAAACTTTGATTGCACACCTTCAATATTCAACATTGAATCAATCACGTATGTTTTACGAAATGCCACAAACGCGCATGACCGATTTGTTAAAAACCAGCTGAGTGACCACCCTTTCGTGGATCTGACTTTCCGTAGAGAAGCCCATCGTCTCCCTTAGCAACAGCTTGTACAACGGCTGTAAAATTTTTATCACTGAATGTGTGGCCAAGCCTTTTAAGGCCGTCGACGATCTCTGGGTCAAATTGAAACATTGCGTCACGCAGAACATACATCGGTATCAGTTGATGGTGAACCCTTGGATCATCTACGGCCTGTGAGAGCGTACGACCGAACCACAAGTAATTAATCACAGCCTGAAAAAGAGTATAGTATTATACTTCTTTCGTCCGGTCGACACTGAAAGGGTTAAGATTAAGAAATAAAGACTGCATAGGCGTYTATCAGCGTGTCATTCTCTTGCAGAGACTACATACTTAGTGCGCTTTCCATTTGTCAGAACTGGCTGGCCAGACCCAGAGAATATGTCATTATATATCATTCCCATTTAGTTAGGAAATTCAAATTTTCAAATTCTATCCATAATTCTACAGAAAATCTCGAAATGACTGAAAAATGTTGACAAAAAGCATTATATACCTCTAAATGGAGTGGACTGGCCGGCCAGTTCTGCCTAAATGGAAAGCACCCTAAGGTTATCTATCTAGAAGGACAAAGACAACAGTGAGCCTCGTACATGTTGTTGAGGCTCGTACAAGAAGTGAATTTGAATTCAGTAAATAGAAAAAAAATATGTCAGGGAAATTCCGACAACCAACCGTAACAATAATCGACTTACAGTGGAACCCTGCATTGCGGCCACCCGCACTTAGTATGTCCACCGCGTTACAACGGCAAGACTTTAAGATCTCAGCGAATTAAACCCTACAACTTTTCTGCGCGGTTTAATACGATTACGTTTCGATGTCCGGTGGCCGGTTTAGTGAGGTTTCACTGTAATATGACTAATTATAACTGGGATGAATCTACTTGCTGTGAATGTGGAACACGGCGTTAACGCCAATCGTTGTAGTATACTTACCAGGGCAGTTGATGTTGTTATAGTAGTTCCCCCCGATGCACCAGTCGCCATACGCACAGCACCATTTTTGTTCAAGATTACGATAGGGGAAGACGAAGAGAAAGGCCTTTTCTTCGGTTTGATGTAGTTAGCAGGAGAAGGAGGCACACCAAAGAAGTTCTTTTCTCCTGGGGTTGAGAAGTCGTCCATTTGGTTATTCATGATAATACCTGTAACTCTACTGCGAAATTTGCTGCCAAAACTAAAACAGAAATATTGGTAAGCAATGAATCTATAAGATAATAGGTCATGTTTTGAAATTATTGTTTATATCGTTTGGTTTAAAAATTCATGGAGTTTGGAACTTAGATTCTTCATTTTTAAATAGGGCATAGACCCCTAATTAAATAGATATGAGTACGAGGACCGCATGGCATTATGATGAACATGATATAGAAACTTGTAAAGGTAGGAATAGTGCTAATTAGAAGGAATTTTTCCCGGGAGAAAGACCTTGCAAATATACTCGTAAAAACTAATTTYCGACCTCGCTGGGATTCGAACYCACGACCCTCGGATGTCGGAAATTAATTTTTCCGAAYTTATTTCCTAGGGWCTTTCTCCCGGAAGTAACCTTCTTCTAAGCACTATTCCTTTCCTTTATATTTCTATACCCTAATTGAATATACGTGATTGGGTCGCAAAAAGATAGAATCAAAACCTATAGCCTAAGCTTCACACCAAGTAGTGGGGAATTTGAGTAGGGAAAACGTGTGGGTCATGTGACTTTGATTTTTGAGTCTCAAGCCACTTACTACAAGTTGATAGTTGATGTAATCGCCACAGCGTCACCATTTGGTGCTAGAATCGATGCATGAGTGGTACTTCCACTATCCTCAGCAAAAAATCCACCATAGTAACTCGCATTGTTATAAGTCTTGTTATCGTTGATTTTCTGACGAGTTGATTCAGCGAAATTCAGGTCGATCATCTTTTCAAATATCTAGAATAAAAACAGTGTTAAATTTCAACCGACTCTGGATGGTCGCTTATAACAAGAGGGTGGTCGTTTAATAAAAATTAGCCCTGATGTCAATCTAACTTATAATGTGAAAGGTATTTGCAGTGCCCAGTTAGTGTAGGGTTTTCTCTTATTAGCAGATACTATAGTTGTGTAAAAAAACATTAATAATACACCGTAAAAAGTACGAGAAGTAACTTACTGAGGTTTCAGACGGTAAGCCGTTATTTCTCAAATTTTTTACCGTGTATAATTTAGTTTATTTCACAACTATATCTTTAGAGATACCGACGCTACCATACCGCTATAGTTAATTATAGAAAATGCCATTAATGCCCATTTTAAGGGCTACGTACATCCGAGAACTTCTCTTGTTGAACCTACAATTCGATTGGTGCAAAATTAAAGATGCCGAATTTTCGTATGTGAGAAACTCTCGCTAATGCACGTAGGTGTNTTTCATGTTTTTTAAATTGGTTTATCGCTCTTCCATCCCTTGTTTCTGGGAGTGAGGACGTGCAGCAGAATATTCTCCCTAGATTCCCAAGGATGCACCAACATAAAATATAGTTGTACTAGCTTCTGAATGCATTCCCGCAAAAAAAGAATTGTTATAATGTCCATTATAATAGTAAAACTATTTTTTCTAAACGAATCATTTTTATTTTCATTTCAGAAGAGGATCAACGCCGTGCCAGGTTACTATAGGATTATGTCGAGTCTGGTTCACGCCCGTTGTTGTCTTGTTAGCTGGAACAGCCTTACCGAGCTTATGTACATAGAGAAAACAATGCCCCAGTTGATTTGAATGGATTTGGTAATCAAAATGCAATATATTCATTCCCAAAGGAGATTGTAGCTTGGTTGTTTCAGCATCATAGGGCGACGTGTGTATATAGCTATTTCAAAAAAGGTTGTCGGATAAAATGGCGAATGCCAATGGTCGAACAGCGATTGCGCTACCGAAAGTGGCCATGGGTTTGGCTAGTTAAAAGGCAATAACGACTGATTTGTACTGTTAGATGGTCGACGGTAAACACTGGCGCCATTAGTCTTCATTTCTATGCATGGTGAATCTAATAAGTGAAATTTTGTTTATCATAGTCCCTTTTGGTTGAGCAATCTCCCTTCGACAATCGCCGTTCGCCGCTCTCTCCGACAACGTTTTTTTTTTAATAACTGTATGAGACATATGAGCATGATCTCATCCCAGCTGCATGGTAGAAAGTGAATGAGAAAAGTAAACGCAAATATATTATTAGATTAATTTAGTGTAATGTTGGTCCCATGAATTCCAACAGTCCTTTTACCGATGTTCCTGCTTGGCACGGCTGTCAGTTTGCGTGTTTTATTTATTTTTTTTTTTTTTCGTGTGCACTATATATAACAAACAAGACATCATCTCAGGTCTTCGTTTAGCTAGGTGTCTTGGCTATTACAATAATGCCAATAGTAATACAGCTATTTCGAATAATGGTTTATGTTGTTACTGTCGAAGGCAAGGTCCAATAGACAGCAACAAGCCTTAGCTATTCTGAGAGCGGCATTAAGATGTTAAGAACTACAAAACGGCTGAAAACTAAAGTGCAGGGATTGATCTTTGACTAAATCCTGTGATGTCGCCATTTGCATGGTCTCGGTCTCGGAGTATGCGGTGTATCAGCTATTACAAATTATAAATTGCCGTATGAAGAAAGAAATTATTCCGCCTTTGGTTTTGGTGTGGACGTTGTATGTGCACTCTTTTCGGGTGCGTCTTAAATCTAATGCCTTTCGAAACGACTGAATTCGAAACAAGTTTTCTATAATACTCTCAATCTGAACAAAGATGTAATATATTGTGAAAAGTCATTTCCTGCTATTCCTAAGTATGGTTTTGCTAGATTATCCAGTCACTATAGTTTCTTATTGTTTGATAACTCACTTGAAATTTCTAGGAAAGCCAGTGTTTCCATCAGAACGTATTGACGTCAGGACCGTAGCCAGGGGATGGGGGATGAAGGATGCAAATGTGTCTCCACACTTGTCTAAGGTAAAAACCGGTCCGCGTTAATTGAGAAGAACCAAAATCAAAATTTGGGAAGGATGCTCTAAGCTTGCTGAAGAGTGTTTTCGTCCAACATGTATAACTCGTTTCTGTACAACCTCCCATAAAATATACTGGCTACGGACCTGAATTATAGCATTAGTGTAAATGTGGACTTCAGGAAAACATGTATAGARATAAAAAGATTTGAAAATACGCTGCGAGCGACGTTTCGGTGCCGGTTGATGTCGTCAAGGTTGTAATCTCAACCGGATTTTCCATAAGTATCGTACGAGATTGAGAAATCAAGAAACATACGAAAAACGCCTTTAGAGTGAAACTTATCTTTTTGATGTCTTTGATTAAACGCTTTTTCAATAAATATATTTTCTATGAATTGATTTTATAAGGAATTCAATTTGCTTGATGTTGGGGTCCGACACCCAGCACCGAAGCGTTGCCAGGGGAATATTCCTTTTTTTTATCATTATGACTGAAAGAAAATAATAAAATAATAAAAACTTTAAAAGTCAAAGTTTGATAACGGAACACCAAATATATTTTGGAAGGCCCAACGACTTTAAGTACCACTGAACGTCGTGTTCAATGCTTCTCCTCCAGTCATTCCACGTAAAGCAATGTTACCAAATGGTTATAAAATGCACGTTGGGTCACCCAAAAAAGTTGGTATTCGTCGAACCAAAATTTCTCGTAAGCACAAACTTATTTCTAGCCGTAGCTCAATATCGAAAATATCAAGAGCTGATGGCACCAATGACAGTTCCACCAGAGTGAGAATATGCATATAATTTCGAGCTGTATAGAAATATAATGTATAATAAATGTTATGTATCGCTAAATACGAGCAATATATAAAGAAATCTWAAGTAAAATTGAAGCYGAGTCMGTCRTTTTTGCGGTTTGATCTCTTTRTGGTTACTCCCGTCTCATAAGACCGAGAACCACWATGTTATCGTGTTGGGAATTTAGCAAAACAGTGATCATGGRAGTGAAAATGTAATAATTTTAGGGCAAAAAGTCGACTAAAGATATTWTGGTTTAGTAAACGTATATAAAACAATGGCAGACAGAAAAATTGGATAATCTATTTCTGGAGCCTCGTCTACTTTAGTGTATGATCAACTGAACCAAAATATCTAAAGTCGATTAAGTCCTGTTYACATGGGAAAAAGTTGTCCCTGGTAGGGTTGCCCTGCTACCCGCGAGCCAAGTTCAATAAAACCCTGAAGCTTTTAAGTCAAACCATATACGCAATGCATTGTAGGATATGTTTGGGACAGAACATGGCGGATTTCTTTTCTCTCTCACACTCTAGAAAGCCATCCCACAATCCATTGCAAGTCAAATAGTGACGTAAAAGCGTCAGCATTATGCTCAAGAAGGCTTCAGCAATAATACTTGCGGTATTTCACACTTTCAGTTGGTGATTGTTAAATCATTTTATTACAAAAATCACAATATAAGTGACGAAATTTGAGAACGAAAAACCGTCCAACCCACACATCAACATATCAACTTGGAAAAGTTATGGGCTGATGGTCTAAAATAACTTAACTGTAAAAAATGTACGACTAGAACTAATTGTTATCCAACAAAAAAAATGAAATAACTCCTRAGCGCCGAATGTTCGAGTAAGCTCTTGCGGAACAAGTGCAAGACAATCAAGACAGCAGCTGTTCAGAACTTGTCCGCCATTTTCTGAATTGATCTCGAGCAAAAAAAGAAGTACAGTAAAAACCCGCGTATATGAACAAGTGGATTAAGAACACTCAAGCATGATTTTAGGAAATAAAAAGTACCATTTATATAAGAAYACATTCAGCCTGAAAAATAAAAGTTGTTCTTATATGGAAAAATATCAAATATCAACACTACTTTTCATTGCAAACATAATAGTTCCAAATCCAATTATATGTAACAAAATATTAATATTGTATTGATTATTTAAAATTGTGTACATATAAATTTCATCTATTGGCAGCCTAGAATGTTCCTTATTTTAAGAAACTTTTTTTAAGAACACTTAAGAAATCAATGATCTTCTCTGGAGCATTGCTCAAAAAGGTTTGTGTACACCTACATGTATATTGCAATCAACTCAGTCTCGCTATTACGGACACCCTCGAACCGTAGTTTAGTGTCCGCAGTAGCGAGAGTAAGTCCGTAATTAACGGGAGTCACTTTCAGTTATTTCTTTGTATTTTTCTCCAGGGATTTCTGMCGGATTTTTATTTGTTTACGTCATTTCCTTTGAAATACATTTCGTATAATATAGACAAGGAATTRACACGCGAGATATCATGTTAAMATGTAGTACWCGTGCTCGCCCGWGTCTAAGTTCYCTCTTTTGGAATTGTATATTTCKCCTTGCTGATTTTGCAGATTATAACCCTTTATATAAGAACTAAATCAGCATGAACCGCCAAAAAAGGTTTTCTTATACGCGGRKTTTTACTGTATAAGTGAATCAAGCAATCATTATATCAAACTTTGATTGCACACCTTCAATATTCAACATTGAATCAATCACGTATGTTTTACGAAATGCCACAAACGCGCATGACCGATTTGTTAAAAACCAGCTGAGTGACCACCCTTTCGTGGATCTGACTTTCCGTAGAGAAGCCCATCGTCTCCCTTAGCAACAGCTTGTACAACGGCTGTAAAATTTTTATCACTGAATGTGTGGCCAAGCCTTTTAAGGCCGTCGACGATCTCTGGGTCAAATTGAAACATTGCGTCACGCAGAACATACATCGGTATCAGTTGATGGTGAACCCTTGGATCATCTACGGCCTGTGAGAGCGTACGACCGAACCACAAGTAATTAATCACAGCCTGAAAAAGAGTATAGTATTATACTTCTTTCGTCCGGTCGACACTGAAAGGGTTAAGATTAAGAAATAAAGACTGCATAGGCGTTTATCAGCGTGTCATTCTCTTGCAGAGACTACATACTTAGTGCGCTTTCCATTTGTCAGAACTGGCTGGCCAGACCCAGAGAATATGTCATTATATATCATTCCCATTTAGTTAGGAAATTCAAATTTTCAAATTCTATCCATAATTCTACAGAAAATCTCGAAATGACTGAAAAATGTTGACAAAAAGCATTATATACCTCTAAATGGAGTGGACTGGCCGGCCAGTTCTGCCTAAATGGAAAGCACCCTAAGGTTATCTATCTAGAAGGACAAAGACAACAGTGAGCCTCGTACATGTTGTTGAGGCTCGTACAAGAAGTGAATTTGAATTCAGTAAATAGAAAAAAAATATGTCAGGGAAATTCCGACAACCAACCGTAACAATAATCGACTTACAGTGGAACCCTGCATTGCGGCCACCCGCACTTAGTATGTCCACCGCGTTACAACGGCAAGACTTTAAGATCTCAGCGAATTAAACCCTACAACTTTTCTGCGCGGTTTAATACGATTACGTTTCGATGTCCGGTGGCCGGTTTAGTGAGGTTTCACTGTAATATGACTAATTATAACTGGGATGAATCTACTTGCTGTGAATGTGGAACACGGCGTTAACGCCAATCGTTGTAGTATACTTACCAGGGCAGTTGATGTTGTTATAGTAGTTCCCCCCGATGCACCAGTCGCCATACGCACAGCACCATTTTTGTTCAAGATTACGATAGGGGAAGACGAAGAGAAAGGCCTTTTCTTCGGTTTGATGTAGTTAGCAGGAGAAGGAGGCACACCAAAGAAGTTCTTTTCTCCTGGGGTTGAGAAGTCGTCCATTTGGTTATTCATGATAATACCTGTAACTCTACTGCGAAATTTGCTGCCAAAACTAAAACAGAAATATTGGTAAGCAATGAATCTATAAGATAATAGGTCATGTTTTGAAATTATTGTTTATATCGTTTGGTTTAAAAATTCATGGAGTTTGGAACTTAGATTCTTCATTTTTAAATAGGGCATAGACCCCTAATTAAATAGATATGAGTACGAGGACCGCATGGCATTATGATGAACATGATATAGAAACTTGTAAAGGTAGGAATAGTGCTAATTAGAAGGAATTTTTCCCGGGAGAAAGACCTTGCAAATATACTCGTAAAAACTAATTTYCGACCTCGCTGGGATTCGAACYCACGACCCTCGGATGTCGGAAATTAATTTTTCCGAAYTTATTTCCTAGGGWCTTTCTCCCGGAAGTAACCTTCTTCTAAGCACTATTCCTTTCCTTTATATTTCTATACCCTAATTGAATATACGTGATTGGGTCGCAAAAAGATAGAATCAAAACCTATAGCCTAAGCTTCACACCAAGTAGTGGGGAATTTGAGTAGGGAAAACGTGTGGGTCATGTGACTTTGATTTTTGAGTCTCAAGCCACTTACTACAAGTTGATAGTTGATGTAATCGCCACAGCGTCACCATTTGGTGCTAGAATCGATGCATGAGTGGTACTTCCACTATCCTCAGCAAAAAATCCACCATAGTAACTCGCATTGTTATAAGTCTTGTTATCGTTGATTTTCTGACGAGTTGATTCAGCGAAATTCAGGTCGATCATCTTTTCAAATATCTAGAATAAAAACAGTGTTAAATTTCAACCGACTCTGGATGGTCGCTTATAACAAGAGGGTGGTCGTTTAATAAAAATTAGCCCTGATGTCAATCTAACTTATAATGTGAAAGGTATTTGCAGTGCCCAGTTAGTGTAGGGTTTTCTCTTATTAGCAGATACTATAGTTGTGTAAAAAAACATTAATAATACACCGTAAAAAGTACGAGAAGTAACTTACTGAGGTTTCAGACGGTAAGCCGTTATTTCTCAAATTTTTTACCGTGTATAATTTAGTTTATTTCACAACTATATCTTTAGAGATACCGACGCTACCATACCGCTATAGTTAATTATAGAAAATGCCATTAATGCCCATTTTAAGGGCTACGTACATCCGAGAACTTCTCTTGNGTCAATATAGCCTTGTTTTCGTCCGACCTGTCTTCTGGTTTCAAATTATAGCCTATAAGAGAAAAACTTTGAATATAACTTACTCGCAAATAGTCATTCTCATGCAGCAATTCCAGGCCCGTAACTAGGGGGGTGCAGTGGGTGCACGTGCACCCTCCCAGAGAAGCTGAAGGTCCGCTCATCTATCTCCATATTTAAAAAAAGTGACATGAATCTTTATTTGAGATTTATTTTGTCGAATTTATCCACGAATCGCCCGGATATGTTTTAAAAACGGACTGGATTTCGAACTGAGTCCATAAGGAAATCAACATAACATAATCGCAAACACTAATTAATAAGTACTATAAGTTGTAATACGCTGTTGTGTATTTCATGGGAGTTGAAAATAAAAACACTCCGACTTTATATACTGAAAGTTCTACTAATAATAAATATTGGTTCGGTTTTATCGGATGTGCACCCTCCCAGTAGAAGTTCTGGATACGGCCCTGAATTCGTAAATCCATATCGTGGTGTCAAAGACGCCGTTTGAGGAAGGRAAAAAAATCAAAAAGGACCACGTGCACCCAAGAACCTTTGCAATCTTTTCGTTTGTTCACAAATGATCCTCTGAATTAATAGTGCTTTCTGATTGCTTCAAAATCAAAGATCGCGAATTTCAGTATGTAAAAAAGTCCTTGGATCCATGCATGCGAATCAACGTCACCGAAAACGGGTAGAATCCTGAGCACACGTGAGTTCCACTTTATCTTCTCTTGCACTCTATACTTAGTGTCTAAATAGTTTCACGTGAGACGTGTGTTATCGCAAGCGAATGCAAAAGCAACCCACTACATATTAAGGCCTTGTCTTCGAAGTGTTTTTCATCATCCATTCCGGCCGCATTTGGACGTAATCACAACGAAAAAAATTGCGGATAGGAAAATCTCCTTTATGTTTTGGAAAACGCATAGTAAGGACAATCTTTTGACTAAATAAGTTTAGTTCAAGCAGGTTATGCGAAATATTTTTAGCCTCTATACTTCGTTCGTCATATTTCACTACCATATACCTTTAAGGATATTCAGAATCATGCCTAATACAGCCCCACTTCCTGGCGGAGGAACGGAGTACCACTGATGATCGCCTAGTTTGTTGCCCAAAGCTTTCCTTACTTTAACGGTATAGTTYTTCATGTCTTCGAGAGTGATAATCCCACCGTTCTGCTGTGCATCTTGAACGATTTGCTCTGCAAGTTTTCCTGTGTAGAAGTCATCAGGTTTGTCTCGAATGATCTCGAGTGTCTTTGCTAGCTTAGTCATGTTTATCATATCTCCTTCACTGACAAACTCGTTATTTTTTATGAATAACTCGCTGAAATGAAGGATAGTTTAGAGCTGTTAAAAATGGACGGTCAAAGAACACATTSCAATCACATTTCACMAAATTGGGAGGCCAAGGGTAATAACCTGTAACCTCTATTATAGTAACCACCAAACTATAAATGGGTTATCAAAAATCCAGTTATCTGATTGGCTAGTAAACTAGACCTATAGTATCTTAATGATAGACCATAGTCTCATTGCACGAAACAAAAAAAGTAATTGAAACAATGTGAATAAAAAATTGTTCTTTATGTTCCTTTTTTCACATTTTTCYAATTATAGTTTGTTGGATACTAAAATTTATGAACTACTCAAGTTTGTGGTCCAATCAACCTTTTGGTCAAATTGTTTACCTTAGACCAGGGCTGTTCTTGATAGCKKCTTYACTRCYWWYCATAGCTTTGWAAGTAGATTTACCTAACTTGATACCTTTCAAAGCCAAATCAATGACTGGTTGAACAAGATCTTTCCATTCTAGTCTACCATGCCTTTCCCATGCTTTACGGTAGCCTCTTACCTCACCAGGKACTCCGGATGCAATTGGACCTGAAAAATGCAAAATCATCTCAGGCTAGTACGAAGATTTGCTAAAATAGTTGATTAGCAATATAGTACTCAAGTGTGATGTCACAAAAATACTTTTTTCGAATTTTTCGGAAAAGTAGCTATCCTACCAAAATGTCAGTGTCCTAGTGCCATTTATAGCGGAGATACAAGTAATTATATGGTCGGGTGACCACATACAGACAAGAGCAAATTTACAAGCCTTTGTATGTGGTCATAAAATCGCTTGTATATCTCCGCTATAAATGGCACTAAGACACTCATATTTAGAATTTTCAGAATATTGAGGGCAAATTYAAAAACTCTATGAGGGTATTGTTGCACCTGYGCATTATGACTTACATTTCTTAATAATAATACTATATTAGTACTGGCTACTTACCAGTGACCTCGTGATCACTAAGATGATCACCTAGGYGATCATTAATAATTCATTAGGAATAAACACAATGGAAATCAATGCTGTGACCAAACGCGAGCCTCGCAATTTCTGAGACACCATTCTAAACCCCTACTATTGCATTCTTGCAGTGGTGAACCAATCTTGGATTTTTCAAGCGGGATCCAGATTTCCCATTGTTTATTTTATTTACTACATGATTGAGTGCTTTTACTTCGAATATAAAAATTTAAATTTGTCTTACTTTAATTACTGGTATTATAAGAAACAGGGTGAGTAGCCCCTTCYMACTACCCCTTAAGGTCCACCCTGCACCCATATTTTATAAATTTGCAATGTTGTTGAATGCTGCAATTAATATGATTGTATGACTTACCTAATTTACTACTTGTTTYATTAAACATAGTTTCATTAGCAGCAGCCGGTGCTTCTTCACGGAAGTCAATGACCTCAGCTTTTTGACTACCTTTCTTGTACACCAACATGAATCCACCTCCACCAATGCCTGAAGAATGCATGTTCAACACACCAAGACAAAACATGACTGTTATTGCTGCATCGACAGCTGAACCATTTTTCTTTAGTATGTCTTTTCCTAATTCAGAACACGTTCCATTGTCTGCTGCAACAACTGCACGCTTGTAAGGWCCACCATAATTAGTTTTAGGAATAGAGGCWGGCTTTTCATCTTCTTTTAAAATAACCAAGAAGACCACGCATAATACAACTACAACAATGACAACAAAAGCAGCAGCCACAGCACATGCAATAACACTCCTGTGAAGTAAAATAATTATGATGTGCAAATAYATCCTTTTCATAGAAATCAAAGAAAATAGAAATTGAATTATTGGGACACAGTGGTAGAAACAGTATTAGGGGATTTTTGAGTTTGGTAGAGTACAAACACTATAAAACTGTGCAACATAAATACCACTAAATACTGCTAAATTATGCTAATTCTATTGTTTTCTATTGTTTAATTAACACTAATTTGTAGTAAATAGTGGAAAGTGTTGCACGCATTTAATGTTTATACTCTACTCCAAATGTTTAAGACACGCTGTAAAGGAGTCGAAATCATACAGATCAACAATTAGGGACATATGAGATCCCCATAACCCCTTTGTATAATATTGTAAAAATTAAGTTCAGCCCTACTTTTCAATGTTGTGTAGAAGCGTGGACTGACATATGCATGCTATCAGAGGTCATTCATGAATAGGGGTCTGGGTTAATTAACATGCATTGTGTTGCAATAAATGTAAAAAAAATGTCACAAAAAAAAATGTCACAACATTTTTTTTCTGGCCACAGTCTCATTGATTTTTGTCCTCTGTTGTAGCTGTGCATGTTATGTTTTTTATATATAGATCACTGAAGATTGTGCATACATTTATCTTTTTCTCTCACTTTGAAAAGAGATTGTGAAAAGAATAAGTATCTTTCCCTCTAGGTGCACTTAATTTCAATATTTTTATGATGTCCTGAGAAAGGAAGTCATTAAGACAAAAGAGAAAGTCAAGTTAAGTGATTGTCTTTCACATTACTGCAGCATAAGCTACCAAAATGTATTTTTGAAAAAAAGAGCTTTTTGAATCCATTATAAAATGGTGTGATCAACTGAAAGTTTTCATCCACAAGAAACATAACATAAACATCTTTCATATACTAAATCAAACACTCATCCCTATGAAGTCAGGTATACGTAACAATTGTAAACACGTTGTAACAATTCATACATTCCATTCAAATGCAAATGATGAGTAGCTGCCTTGACACAGTGGACAGACGTTTATGACAGCCTCAACTGACCATAGTTAGTATAAGCTAGAGGCCCTCCTCTATTTAACTTTGGACAGACGAGACATATTACTATATACTAGCTATCACTCATGCTTCTAGCGTCTTAAATATAATTATTTTCCCTCTGTCCTCATAGATATATTATCAATATATGTTCGTTTCGGTGGATCTGCTCTGATTTAACTCATCAGTTTGTGAAAGTTTACAAAAAGACCGTTGCTGTGGTTGCTGTGGTAGCGTCTCTTCTACTCTTCTATTATTTGATTCATGGATAATCAATCATGAATGCATAAAAGTCTAGACTTATTGTATAATGACTWWATGTCACGCAAGAAAGACGCTCCCRATGTTGCAGTGCTCTTGACTATGACTTATTGAATCATTTAACTCAAATTACTAATAAAGAAAGTAAAAGCGTAACTCCTCAGTGAGAGATAAATAAAGAGCATACATTGTGCCTGTCAAGTCAATTAAAACTAGAATTGTTTAGTACACCACACGCCATGTGCATATTTTAATATGCAAGAAAAGTGTTGAAACAATAGGCCTCAGCGAGCGTGTCTACGAATAGAAGTATAAACGAGAGAATTGGATGAAATTTCAGCAATCACATACGATGAAAGGGCTCGGTAAATGACTACGAGCAATGTTGTTTTACAAATCTTTAATGGGKTTTGATATTTGCCTATTATAAGACAAAAACCTATAAATCTTTAATGGATTAAAGATTACGGTACTTTTGTAAA